AGCAGAATGATTTTAAAGATCTTTATATTCTAGTTCCCAGGAGGGATAATTACTCAGTATAACACAGAGAACATTTCTTAATCTCCTAAAGGAATTTTATTTAAAAGTGTGTGGAAAGGATGGAGATAGCTGAATGGTGTGGGTTTTTTTTTTCTTCTTTTAATGTTCTCAGCCCTTTCTAAATTACCTTCATTCCAGGGGGCAATGCAGCCTCTGAAAACACGTTCCAGCAGAATGTTCAACCCCAATTATAAGACTATTAAGAGAAAGGTGGTAGCTCAGCAACTAAGTAGGGAGGGCACATTCTAGGTTCAAATTCCTGATGCTGCCACTTAAAAGAATCTGAGGTATCAGAGCCTGGAGAAACAGCTGTTGCAGACCTTGAGAATTGGTGGGAGATAATGATGATAATTATGCTAAAAGATGTGCCCGTGTTCTTCTATATTCCTAAATATTATCTCTGTAAAAACATTTAAAAGCAATCAAATAGCATTGATTTCTCTAGTCTTTAAGAAAAAAAATGACAAATAAAAATTTCAATTCAGTTTCCCTTAATCCAGTTAACACATTTGTCCCTGTATGACAGGGATCTTTAAACATGGCCTTTTTATGACTCGTGGACTTCAACTCCCAGAATTCCTCAGCCAGGCACATTGGCTAAGGAATTCTGGGAGTTGAATTCCATAACCCTAACCCTAACCCTAAAAGGGCCAAGTTTGAAGACACCTGCTGTATGACATAGTTAGCTATAGAGACAAGGTATTTAAATAAGTGCAGACTATATGTTTTTTTTATTTAGCAAGCAAGTGGCTCTCATAAAATGGGGAAAGCTTCTAAAAGAAACAATTCTCACTTGCTCATCTTTACAGTTGTCATGCCTTCAATCATACCATTCATGTCATGCTGACAGGGAGAGATGCTAATTGTGGCTGTGTTGTTCCTACCCAGTGAGAGTGATAAAGAGGCAAGCGCAGTTTCTTTTTTTAATTTGAACAATTTGCATGTGTCTGTATTCACAGGCTTTTACCAAACTGGAGCAATACCGTGACTGAAATGAATGTGACCGAAAATGTAAACAGGAAAAAGTACATTCCCAAGCATGCACAAAAATAAAGATGTCATTGGCCCAAAGTATTACAAATTAACATTCTTCTTTAAGAAGCATATTTCCATGTTCTCCAATTGCTCTGTGCTTTTTAAGCAAGGCAAGGCTGAAGAATTTTAATTTACAATGAAATCTTTCTTCCTTTCTTTGAAATTCCTGGGATTCCATCTCCCACCACTAGCAGTCATTTATATTAACAGCAATAGTATAGTATAGTATAGTATAGTATAGTATAGTATAGTATAGTATAGTATAGTATAGTATAGTATAGTATAGTATAGTATAGTATAGTATAGTATAGTATAGTATAGTATAGTATAGTATAGTATAGTATGTAAGCTGAGACTTATATACTGCTTCATAGTGCTTTACAGCCCTCTCTAAGCGGTTTACAGAGTCAGCATATTGCCCCTAACAATCTGGATCCTCATTTTACCGACCTCAGAAAGATGGAAGGCTGAGTCAACCTCGAACTGCTGGCAGTCAGCAGAATTAGCCTGCTATACTGCATTCTAACCACTGTGCCACTATGGCTCGTATGCATTCCCTTCCTTCATTATCTGAACATTAGAGATGCCCAGATTTGCTGATGGCAAGTTGATGTGGGAATGAAAATCCCTTGTTAACTTTTGGTACCAGGTGCTGATGTTGGAAGTAAAGAAGGCCACAGTTTACATTTGCTGAGTGAATAATGGTCTCGGCAAAGATTACTTCCGCCACTAAAGGCTTTTAAATGTACTGTCTGGACCCATTTCAGCTGGGCTGTCAACCAAGATAAGTACTGCGATGCCTTGGCTAAAATTGGATGGGATAAATGCAGACTTGCTAATTCTTCCAAACTGTTCACAACTTTTGTTATTATGGCTATCCTGGTTTGTCAGGAAGGATTGGATATGGAGCACAGTGCTGCAGGTTTACTATATAAGCCTGGATTTCTGACTTCTAATATCCCACAAGGTTCCAACTTGTCCCTCTTGATATTCAATAGCTACATGAAACACTGATGGTGATCATTCAGAACTTGGAATGATCTGTTTCTGTTTTCCAGCTACTCTAAGAAAGCATTGTCTAAACTCAGTGACACATGGATGAGGGAGAACAAGCTACCATTTAATCCAGACAAGACTGCCATTGTCAATAGGGAGTTGATTTAGGATTAAAGTTCAAACAGTAATGCATTCTTCTGAAAGAAATATATATATACTGTATTCACTCTGAAAGTGCAACTTGATCCTCATCTGTCACTGAATTTACAGGAATCATGTGAAGCTTGTATATAGGATGTTCTGCATTTGTTGCTAGGACCCTCTCAAGCATAATTTGAAGTGGTGATACTGATCTTTTTGGTAACAGAGCATTCAAGAATTGTCTCTCACCCTTTCAGGAAACAGAACATCTGTAATCTGTTTAATCAGGCTTGTAATTGTTAATTGATTACAGTGTTACATTAATTTTATATTTTTAAAAATGTTGTTGGCTATCATGAGTAAATAGATGTAGCATAAATAAAATCTCTAGTGGTTTACAGGCTGCTGGATAGTATCAGGAAGTGATTTTAGAATATTTGGGGTGGGAGGTGGCTCTTTTTTTTTCTAATATTTTAGAAATACCTTTGCAGTTTGTTGAATTCATTACAAATCAATGCAACTTGTTATTCACGTGGTTTAAAAGAAAATGACATGTCCAAATGCTATTGGGATTAATTTATTCCACTCATTCCAGGGGAAAGGGCCTTCTTCAGATCCCAATTTCAGCTAGAGAGGTCCAGGAGAGGAGCCTTTTGAAATATTCTCCTCTCAGAGATGAGATCTGCCCCTACACTAATCGTTTTCTGGAAGAGCCTAAAAACGTGCCTTTACCTTTTGGCCTGGGACTCCGACAGAATTCCACTATATTGAAGGTGGCTGATGAGATAAAGAAAATTCTCTCCCCCAAGTTGACCATCATCTTGCTTTTTAATTTTAATTTTAACTTTTTATTCTATTTTAATTGGGTGTTTTTTTACACTTTTTACCTTTTACTGTATTGTAAAAGTTGCTCAGAGTCATTGTATTAGTGTGATGGACAACAAAGAAATCCAATAAATAAAAATAAATAAAATAATACAATGACTAGAGCCTGAAAAGCATTTTATAAAGACCTGCTAGCCAGCAATTCTGCAGCTAGAACATGCAGAAGAACCCTCTCCCAGCTGATACCCACCAGTTATTGCTCAAAGAGATACTGCCTTTCATCCTGAAAATATGATTTGATCATTGATCCTGATTAAGAGCAATGGGAGGGGGTGCTACTTTATATTTTATTCTTCTAACTATCCTGACATATCCAAGATCTCCTGTCCTATTTAACATCTACATCAGGGGTGTCAAACTGCCAGCCCGCGGGCCAGATGTGTCACACGGAAGCTGCGCACAACCAAGTTCCGGCAAGGAGCAAAAAGTCGTGATACGTCACGACACGTCACATGACGCGACGAATTTGACACCCCTGATCTAGATGAAGCAATTGGTAGAGGTCATCTTTAGCCATGGTGTGAGGTATCATCATTATGCATTATACTTCACATTGCTTACTTCACATCAGGTGAAGTAAGCAAAGCTGTTGATATTCTGTCTTGGTATGTGGAGACTGGGAATTTAGATGGGGGACAACAGGCTTCAGCTCAACACTGGCAGCTTTTGGGACCACCAGCACTTGAGAATTTACCATCTTTAGTTTTGGGTGGAGTGGCGCTGCTCCAGACAGACTCAGTGCACAATCTAGCGATCCTTATAGAACTCATGACTCATGTTTGATGAGCAAATGGCAGTCATGGCTGGGAGGAACTTCGCACAACTTTAGGTCGTATGCCACTTCCTCTTACTCCTAGACCAGGAGACCCTCCACTTAGTCACTCATGCTCTTGTCACCTCCCACATGTATTATTGTAACATGATGTACAGGGGATTGGCCTTGAAGAGCATCTGGAAACTCTAACTGGTGCAAACTGAATGATGAATCTAGATCAGTACACTTTACACCTCTGTTCTGCTAGCTGCATTGGTTAGCAATTTGCTTCTGGGTTCAAATCAAGATGTGGTAATTACTGCTAAATCCTACATAGCATGGGGCTGGATTATTTGAGGGACCCCCACTCCCCAATCAGGAAGGAGTATCATCTGATAGAAGCCAAGAGGAGAGTCTTTTCTGCAGTGGCACCCACCTTCTGGAACATCATTCCCCCTGAGGTCAGATTGGCCCCAACCTTGCTGGCCTTCCAGAAGGACCTGAAGACATGGCTGTGTCACCGGCTCTGGGGAGGTCTGTTAAAGTAGGTGTGGAGCCTGCAAAGTGGGAAAATTAGTTCATTGTCCTGCAAATTATGCTTTTAACATAACGGTTTGTATTATTTTTTAAATTTAAAATGAATTTTCCTGCTTTTTTTTTAGTTATATCATTCTATTGCTTTTTGTGTTTTTCTCTTTCTACACTACCCAGAGGCATGTGTATAAATCTAGTCTGCAAGGATATGTGTTTATCAGAGGAATTATAGGAAGAGAGAGAGAGAGGAAGAGAAGTTTTCTTGGCCCCATCTACCCATTGTCCACTTCCAGGCCTAACAATTGGGCAGCTATCAAAGGACTCTCTAGTTATCAATGCCTCTGAAAAATGTTGTCCACCCTTTCATTCCATGAATTTACTGAGGAATTTTAGCCATCGTGGAATTAAGGGGAAAGGTGCTTTTATAAATCAGACAAAGAACAAGAAGCATGATTGACGCTCGGTTGTTGAATAATCAGAAAATCTACTCGTGGGACCTCTTGTTACTTATCGTTCTGTATATTATTGCATTGGTCACTTTTACATTTATGTCAATCAGAAACACTGAATGTTTTTTGGATCTTCCCTTCCGCAGGTCAAAGAAGTTGGCAGCTCTTGCTGATTGCATGCAGAAAGCAGAGCTGGGTAAGGAGGACTTGGGTTTCGAATTAAATGAGCTGGAAACAGCCGCACTTCTGGTACGAGAGGAAGAGAAAGAGTTAAAAGCGATTGACGACGCAGGCGATTCTGAGCAGCAGCTGCTGCTGCCTCCCTCCCAAGAAGAAGCAAGCGAATTCGAGGACTCGGGCAGCACTTCATCATACGAGACAGAAGTCTCTGATTCGGATGAACAAGAGTCCTCAGCCAGTGAAGATGGGAAAATAAATCCTTTACAATGCACACTCCCAGAGAAGAGGACAGACCCACTTATTGACGATAATGGATTAAGGCAAGACACAGGCACTTTGACACTGGAGGGTAGTAATGAAAAATCAAAGGCTTCTCTACAGTCTACATCTGTTTCGGGAAAACTGATAGAGGAATTAGAAAAGCAAATGCAGGCGGCAGTAAGGCTGACGGAGTTGCCTAAAGCTGCACCTCCTCTGAGGGGTGACGGCCAGGATTGCAGCAGCCCTTCGCAAGGGATGGGAACCAAAGGCACTGCTCAGCCTAAAGGACTTTTACTGGATCCTAATTAAGAGGAACATTTCTTGGAAGTGACTCCAAAGTTTTGGGTATTACAGATGAAGCTTCTTAGACAATAATTAGGGAGAAATTGTTAATATATGGAAGCAAAATAAGTTTTTTAATGTATGTATGTATGTATGTATGTATGTATGTATGTATGTATGTATGGGTGTCCCTCATAAAGATCTTCATGAGATAAAGGTGTTCTAAATTTATAACAGTAATCCAATCTAATTTAATTTTGATACCTAAGACAAGAATTTTCTGTAATCTTAACATTACAATAGTTTAATTGCTTTAGAAAAATATAATCAAATATGGAAGGAAGTTTCTGGTTTCTGGAAAAAAATATAAGCTTAACTATTTTTGTATTTTAAAATTAATTTTGTTAACAGTTTGATATCTTGTTTATTTGCTTTTAAATATTTTGAGGTGCTTGTGCCTGAGTAGAATAAGTAAAAAAACCTTATAATTTCCAAATATTTGCATGTAATATCTTTGACTTTCAAGATGATTTCTATATGCAGCATATTCAATATCTGTTCAGATTAATGGTAATAATATTTCCCAGTACTGAATTTTGTGGAATTTATTGGGACTTACTGCAGGCAGTGATGGGAAAGAGATTGGTTCAGTTAATATTTTACTATGAACCAATCCAAATTTCAATTCTTTAAACAGTACACAAGTTGGAATCTAGATATCTCTCAGTATTTATTTTTATGCAAATTATGTAATGTAATTGTCTTATCAAAAATTTGAACATAAACTAGGATGTGTGTGTATGCTGAGATATATGTATGATATAAATTGAAAGATTTTGTTGTGATCATTCACCACCACATAGAAAATCAATATGTGAATATCCAAAGCTGAATCAACAAAGTTGGTATAATTAGGAGAAATACATATAAACATTATTGACTAAAAGCAATATTAAAAACAGCTAAGATATTTGTTTTAGCTACACATGAGTGACAAAAAAAGAAAAGGAGTTGGTATGTATTCTCTTTGGATATATAGTCAAAAAATTCCACCTTATATATATTTGGATGAATGAGAATTTTAAGTACAAATAGGTTCATACCAGCCTTTGTTAAAAATGTAAAAATAAGATTAGGAAACTTAAAAAATAAGATTAGGAAACTTGGGGGAATCAAAACTCATGGAGTAAAATTGATAGGTTTCTATCCATCAAAATTGTCATTTGTGAGATGTGACTATATTTGGCAATATTATTTTAGAGCATACAACATATATTTCACTGCTGATTAGTAAATATTTGATTATAGATTACCTTTATGCTACTGGTCTGCGGCTCAGCTGGAGAAAATATGATTCACTGGTTAGAATGCAGGTTGAAATGTAGGAAATAACATAGTTGTAATTATTCCACTAGCTTAATAAAAGATGCATTGTGATTGAAGAGCAAAAATGAGCATTCTCATTGAGGGCTATATGCCCAAATCATATATTTTTTACAATATTTGCTATTAATAGACAAAGCTGCATTTTTTCATTTGCATCCAGGATACACAATATGCATGTCCCTATTCATAATTTGTCATCCTGAACTATAAATACTGTTTCATATTATTTGAAATTTTTCACAATGTATTTCCACAGTGATTAGTGATAACATAATAAACTATACAGAAAATGTACCTAAGACACGAGCTAGGTCAATGTGTTTCGTTTGTGCAAATTTGAAAATAAAACTGTGAGGTATCACGGATACAATTGTCCAAGCACTGGAACTCCTACGGCAAAAGGTAAGTGCCCTATTATTCATTTTCAGCCCGCCATTTTGTGACAGGCAATGAAGTGTGCTTCCTCACTGAGAATTGACTGCTATATTGATGAAAATATAACACCCTTTATTCCACTTTTTTCCTACATAAGCAAAATTCTTACTTTGGTCTGACTTTATTGTGACTCTAGAGGTTAACTTTTTCGCCCATACTCCCAATATTTAGGACTGTTCACTCTTCAGAGAAAACAACAGCTTTCAGTTTGTTTTAGAAATATATGAAATTTCAGAACTAGCTTTTGACAGCAGGCATGTCGTAAGGCTGCCTCTGAAAGCAGCATATTATGTTCAAGTGTTTCCTTAAAATAATAACATTAGAATGTGCTTCTCTACAATAATCAGTAACAGTTATGCTACGAGATCATAGTAACATTCCTCCCACATAAGCCCCAATATAGGTTTAACATAAATATTTTTAAAAAAGAATGCACAAATCAGAATCCCTTCAAAACTGCATCAAATCTTGATCCTATTTGTATGTGCCTTTTAACCACACTACTACCCATTACCACAGCTCTCTCAGCTATCAGACGATTGTCAATCTTTGATTTAGGTTACTGCTTTTCTTTCCAAATGTATTTATTTAAAATATTTGTAAAAGTATTTATAAGGAAAGAACATGTTTCCCTTTATGATGCCTCCAGTTCCTATTTAACACCTGTGGGGCAGATGTTCCTACTCAGGTCTTCTTCATGCTTTTCCATAGCAGATGCATCAGTTTATTGTTTACTAGTATTTATTAATATAAAATATGAGCATATTTGGCAACACCTTAAACATAACAGGTTGATTTCCCCTTGATCACAAAACAGCTGCACTAATCCAGGAATAGATATAGCTGCTTCCAGGGTGTTGCTGACAGGGCTCCATGCACACACATACGCAGTCCAAATTTTGTGCTCCACCTCAAAGTCAAAGTGCTACCAAATCCTAAAGCTTCTTAACAAAAATTAAGTCTTTTGGCACCTAGTTTATAATCATTTAAATTTTCATCAGTTGGCTGAAGTAAAAACATCAAAACTTAACGTGACTATCCTTCTGGGGGGAAAATTAACAATGCTATGTACTGTATGTTACACAATATACAGAGACGAATTTCCATTGCCTGGAATTTAGCTTGGCGTGTCAGAACGCTAGGATCTTCTGAAAATGCTGTGACTTTGAGTTGGCTTCTAAAAGCCCAAGGTTAATAAGTGAATAGTTAAACTTTCTATCTCATGTTAATAAATATGAATCTTTTATATAATTGCAGATCTAATCTGAGGTGATATTTTTTTTTCTAGAAAAGAGCAAATTGGTCCGAGAAGCGGGATCAACATCTACAGAAAGTAATAGGTCTATTTTATTTTTAATGTCATAGCCACTTGGCCTCTGCATAGCCTGAGTGGAGTCATTATTAATGATCTATTGAAGGGAACAAAAGTGCCCCACAGAATTAGTCTTTATGTTTGCTTTTCAGTATGTCTGGCAATTGACTGCAATAAAGCAGAATACTGGTTAGACTGAATCATGTGAGAGTCAATTCAGTAACCCTTTCAAATGAGTTTCTGGGCCAATTCAGCTGTGTCTTAGTGTGAACAAGAATGCTTGTCAGTTCAGATTATATAATGTAAATTCTCACTAAACTCAGGAGGGAAAAGCCTTCTGGATGATACCCCACACTCTTAAAATGCTAGCAAGAGTAACATGACATATTAGTTTTTACTTAACTTTGAATCTTTCTCTCTTGTCCTTGAAAGCTATGTAGAGTTTATTTTGGATTAAGTGAAGGTAACATTGATGAGGTTCTGATTGCTTCAATAAGCCCTGAATATACCAGGGCAATGAATTCATAACTTTTGAGTGTGCAGCTTGCCACCAGTGAAAGTTGTGCCTCAAGGCCAAAGAAAACAGGGGAAATGGAAGTCAAATAGATAAATGGGTTGGCTGTTTAGAATGGACCATGGATGGCAGGACACCCTCAAAGCAGCCCAGAAGAGTGGAATGAATGTAGAAACAGGTTCCCAACCTGGGGTGTCCACATCCCTAGAGGATGCAAGATGGAATTTGAGGGGATTTGACAAAGAGTGGCTTGTGTCCCTTAGTGACAAGTTACGATTACAGGTGGTCCTTATGACCACAATTGAGCCCGAAATTTCTGTTGCTAAGTGAGACAATTGTTAAATAATTTTTGCCTCATGTTATGACCTTTCTTGCCACGGTTGTTAAGTGAATAACTGTAGTTAGTAACACAATTGTAAAGTGGATCTGGCTTCCCCATTGACTCGACTTGTTAGAAGGTCCAAAAGGGGTTCATACAACCCCAGCACACTGCAACCGTCATAAATATGAGTCAGTTGCCAAGTGTCTGAATTTTGATCACATGACCACGGGGATGCTGCAACGGCCATTAGTGTGAAAAATTTACAACTCCTATTCCCATAGCTCATCGTAGAGTGAATATTTTGTTGTTAAGTGAACCCCACAGTCCTTCAGCAATGCCATTGTTTGCTATGGGGTATTTTGGGTGAAAACCAGAAGTAAATGTTGGTTTTTTTGGGGGGGGGGAGTCATAAATCAGGCCCATCAATGTGGGCCAGTTGTTAAGTGCCTGAAACACAGTCACAAGACCACCAGGGGGCACCCATTGAAACTTCAGAACTGGTTGTAAGTACCTTGGGGGGTGGGGAGGTCTGTTGTAACTTCGACCCTTCATTAAGTGACTATCCATAAGGCAAGGACTACCTATGCATCAAACTGGCTTTCTGATTTAGGAAGTATTATTTGATACAGTTTGTGTTTGTCTCTCTAAATATAAGCTTATTGCATGTTTAATCCTCCAGGCTTGCGAACACCTTATCGGTTTTCCCAAAGTAAGAAACGTGCAGCAGCACCAATACAGCAATGCAGCCTTCTACCTAATTGAAGCCAGTGGGCACTTGGCTACCCACGCTTTTAATAACAGATTGCTCAGCATCTTGGCAGCTGAACTGCGATTTGTGCTTATTGAAAAGCTGAGAATCTGAGACATCAGGCAATAAAGCTGTCTGGGTGCTCTTCAGGCAGCAGTTTTGCACAAGGATACCACCTTCCTGATGATGCTGTTTCATGTGCGAATGAGCAGCAAGTAGCCTCCTGGCATGGAGTCTGACTGAAGAATGATAATCGTACCATTCCACTTGAAGCTAGGGACAAGATGGAGCAATGTGCTGTCTAATTAAACATGAATACAAAGATGGTTCCAGTCAGTGAGTCATAAATGTTAATGGGACTTGTAAGCATAAATCACTTGCGAGCCAAACGAGGAACTAATCCCATAAATTCCACCCTTAAATATTCTTGATGTTGGCCAAGATTGGGGAGGCCTCCCATTCCCTCCACACCACTTCCCAGCACTGGCATAATTAGTTTCTGGTCACAGTTTTGTAGTAATTGGCGACAAAGAGTCCCATTTGTGAGCCTAGATCAACCAGAGAGTGTGTTTTTCTGGACGTAGCCCTGCCTGCTGTACGCTGTTGTTTGAGAATCGCAGAAGGCTTACAGCTACAGCGGGGGGTGGGGGGTGGGGTGGCTCGCTGTGGAAGTAGAACAATGATTACTCCATCTGTTCCTGCAGAGCTGAGGCCAGGGAGGCGAACAGGATTGGGGGGGGGGGGTGAGAGCAGGAAAAGGCATCTCTCACACAGGTGTCTCTGGAAGAGGCTGTTTCTTCCAGGTTGGGGGGTGGGAATGAACACGTGTACCCTGTCTCTTAAGTACCAGGCTTATTGTTGAATCGTTTTAAATCATTCAATGCTGAATTTGTCCAGCCAGGCATAGTTGAAGAAATGAAAGGAAACTGGCGTTTCCGACGTGATTTTCTGCTTTAGTTTTAACTTGTTTTGTTGGCTTCAATGTTTGGAGGGAAAGGATTTTGAGCAGAATGGAAGCGGTGGAAAAGGAAAGAGGCGGGAGATGGACACAAGGGTGCTGAGCTCCTGTTTTTCCCCCAATCCTGGAATTACAATAGACACGGAGAAGTGAACCATAGGTAGAGTTCACTTTCCCTGGCTCCCTTTCTTACTGGAAGTGATACTTCTGGAGCTGATGCTTATAGCAAGAGTGGATGGGCATGTAAAGTTTAACTGAAGCCTGACGTTCAGATTCTCCTAGCAGTCACTTTTCTCAAATTCATCCATCTCTTCCTTCAGATCAGTTCAATTTTGTCCACTCAGGCCTTCAGCCATGCTTTTTGTAATAGGCACTTTTTTTCAGTGAAAATCATGGACTCCAGTATCAATATGCATGTAGTCCTCGACTTGCAACCATTCGTTTAGTGATCAACACTGAAAAAAGTGACTTATGGCCAGTTTTCGCATTTACGGCCACTGCAGCATCCCCATGGCCACGTGATCAAAATTCAGACACTTGGCAACTGATTCATATTTATCATGGTTGCAGTCTTCCAGGGTCATGTGATCACCTTTTGCAGCCCTCTGATAAGCAAAGCCAACGGGGAAGGCAGATTCGCTTAACAATTGTGTTACTAACTTAACAACTGCAGTGATTCACAGAGGTTATAAAACGGGGCAAAACTCACTTAACAACGGTCTTAATTAGCAATGGAAGTTTGGGGCTCTATTGTGGTCATAAGTTGAAGATTCTCTCTACTGTAACACCAAAAATCAGATTTTAAGAAAAATAAAAATAAACCACTACAGAATTTAAGTAATGGCCAGCTCTATTCGACAAAGCAGTATAGATAATTACAAATAGCACTTGGATTAAAATCCAGAAAAAAAAAATAGGCTTTTAAAACATTATTTAAAGCAACCTATTGAGTCAGCCAAACATTTCACAACCTGGACTCCAACTAAGGAGCTCTGCTTCCAATGTTTATCATGGTCACGTGTCATAGTGGTATGTCAACCAGTCCAGCAATGCTACCTTCCTTTAACAAATATTGAATTCCACCCACAACATTCCCAGTAAGCCAGATGACATTACAGGCATCTGATTAGAGAAAAGGATCTTTACCTTTTCTCCAATGCTCTACCTTCTTCTCCCAGCTGTCTTCTTTTGCTCAGACCACATTAGCCACAATTACTCCAAATCTCTTTCTGAGTAGAGGAAAAGAGGTGCCTTTTACAGATAGGTCAAGAAAGGGGGAAATAATCTGAGCCAATTTCTTATCCTTAAGGGTGCCCAAAACTCTACAGGAACTGACCCATATGGAATAAAAAGGAAGGATTACTTCCCATGATTTATAAACTATACTTATAGAATCACAGTACTGTAGAGTTGGAAAGAAAGTACAGAACGATCGGGATCATTTGTTGCAACCTTCTATGGTAAAGGTAGCCTTCTACTTACAACTGTAATTAAGCCTGGAATCACGGTCATAAGCCACGCCAGTAATTAAGTGGGTCATCGTGTGACTGCGTCTGACTTTACAACTTTTTTGCAACGGGCATTAAGCAAATCCATTGTACCCAATGAGCATTTTTTGCTAAAAGTAAACACTAATTTCCAGCAAAAAAATGATATGAATTGTGGTCACATGATCGCAGGATGCTGCAAACCGTCACAAATGCAGACCCGTTGCCAAGCCCCCAAAGTGCAATGATGTGACCATGAGGGGGAGGGGTGGCCAACCGAATTTGAAATCGGGTCATAAGTAACTGTGGGGAGGTCCATCATAACTGGCCACTTTGTCTACCTTGTCTCCCCTCAGTTATCTTTTCTCCAGAATGAGCATTCCTTCAGCCTATCCTAAAGCACAGCCTCAAGTTTAAGAACATCTTCAACCTCAAGTATCATCTTTGTCACCTTTCTCTAGGCTACTTCAACCTGCCAATAGCATTCTAGAAAAGTGGTGTCCAGAATTGTACACAATCCTCCAGGTCTGATCTCACCCGTGCAGAGTGGGAGAGGATAAGGCCTTCATGTGCCTTTGATACAATGGTTCTTCTCTCATATCTTGCTCTTCTCAGCCTTCCAGTCTGTCTTGATTAGCCTGCAATCTTGCCTGGGTATGGCCAAATTTCTCAATTTTCTATTGAGGCAACTCTGTTTTGCAGCCACATTGCACTACTGACTTAATAACATGTTCAGGTTGGAACTATTATTCCAAGGACATTTTTCCACAAGTATTTTTGTCAAGTATCTTTTATTCTGTAGCTATGCCTCTGACTTTTGTTTCCTAAGTGAAAAGTTTTGTATTTGTCGTTCAGTTTTATTCAGATATTTTCAGTCTAGTTTTCTAACTTATTAAACATAGATTTTTAAACAGCTTCCATTCCCCCCCCCAAAAAAATTAGTAAAATAAATTTTGGTCCCAACTGTTACATTTCCAACCCCTCTCCCTCAAAATGTGCAACAGTTTCAGAGCTGCAACCATGTAATGTCCTAATCTGGCAGTTTCAGACATGCATCCTTTCACAACCTGGGTCACCTGAGGCCAAAATAGTAGTTGTGGGAGAGGCTCATTTGAATCCATGGAAATAATTCCTCTGAGTGGTATGAATGCTGACATCTGTAGAGCTTCCACTGCGAGGTGATTTCCCTTGGTGCTGCTCAGTTTGCAGCCTCAGTGCTAACAGCATATTGTGCTAATAGCATCCTCTTGCTGGAGAAAACATTATACTTCACATCTGAAGTGGTTGGCAGAAGCTGTAATTGAGGTGTGAAGTGACTTTCCACAGAAGAACATGGGTTTCATGCCTTTTCTTGCTTTGTGTTGCCAAGTGGAATTCTGTGAGTGGAAACCCCAAAGCAATTAGAGTGTGTAAAAGGATCTACCACCTTTTCAGTTATGTATGTGCAGTCAGGGTGGGCAGAGGAATTTATGTTCTCTGTGGATGTGGTTTAAATCCAGGAGAATCAATACTGTTTAAACATTCTTATATTTGCAAGGGAAACTATGAGGATTTCACTTAGGAACCAGTGACATTTTGAGCAGGAAGGAACTCTTGTTCAAACTGTTAAGTAATAATTGAAATAAAATTAAAATACAGCAATATTAAGGGTGAATGAAATAAATTATTAATCTTTGATAAACATCATGTCTTCTGCTAGGACTTTAGCTTCATTTTGTCTAATATTTTCCATTGCTATTAAAAGTGAGCACGATTATTATCTTCATGCACTGTACAAGCAGGAATGACAACTCTATTATTATTTTTTTGCCACAACACAACCACGCTCATAAGGTATCTGACAAGCAAACCAATACTAAGAGGGTCTATTCTATCTGAATCCTAAAAAGATAGAATTTATCTTTTCTTTCCAAAACACCTATCCTGTTCTTGTAAGCAAAGACATAACAAACGGAATGGAATGGAATGGATGAGAGATAGATAATAAAATGAGATGAGATGAGATGAGATAGGATAGGTCAGGATAAGGTAAGGTAAGATAAGATGATAAGGCAAGGCAAGGCAAGATAAGATAAGATAAGCTTTATTGTCATTTTTTACTGTGGCCACTCTGGCACACATTAAAAATGAAATTCTGTTGCTTACTCTCAAAAGTGTACACAATACACATATAAACATGCTATATACAACATATGCATATACCTACACCCTTGCATATAAATACATATAAATATTAATCACTGTCCATCTTGAATACATAGCAGAAAGAAGAAGCTTGAGAGTTCACAGGGTTAATATACTATATGGAACAAAAGTATGACTGAATCTGGATGTTCTGCTTCGAATACCACAAAGCTTTCTCCCAGAAGGTAACAAAGAAAACAGATTGTGAAGAGGATGTGCTATATCCTGGATGGAAGGGAGGGAACTGCCAATAATCTTTTCTGTCATCCTCACCACTGTCTGCATCGCCTTCCTGTCTGAAGCAGTGATGCTTCCAAACCAGACTGTGATGCTGTATGACAAGATGCTCTCGATTGTCCCTCTGTAGAAAGTGGTAAGGACAGGGGAAGGAAGATGTGCTTTTCTCATGCGACATGGAAAATGCAAGCACTGCTGTGGCTACTTCACCAGTGTTTCACTGTTGAGCGACGAAGCCAGCCTACTCA